AGAAATTCAGTGTAAAACACCAGTACGCGGAGGGAGGCCGGATATTTCCCGGACGTCACCAGGGGAGAGAGGACAGTAGTATTCATACAGTGTAATTGTGAAGACGGACGCCCTCCCCCCCGCTACCCCTCCCCCCTCTCCTCCCCCCTCCACTTCAGCCCCCCGTGCCAATCAGCATCAAACGAAGCACACATGAATTGCATCAGGTGGCCACCAGAAGAGGCCTCGCCCACGCGAAACAACTCGGACGTCACCAAAGGCTGCGCCAACGGGTACCAAGCCTTGTTGATCGAAAACCGACCCATGCAAGATTCGCGAGCACGCGAGCGCCCTAGGAACCCGCATGCTGTGGGCCTGGGCACTCGGCGGCGAATCTTAGCGAGACCTGACCGCTCCCTCCCACGCGCAGCATACTTTCTTTCGTCGGCGACGAGGCAGAGTTGGCTGTACCAGCGATAGAGCTAGATGGGGGCATCGAAAAGCGAATTGGCCAGCAACACGCGAGAGTGGGAAGAGGGCAGAGCGGGCGGCCGCGGGGGTTGGAGGAGAAGGAAAGGCCACTCAGAGGTAGAACAGGCACGCACAGCACAAACCACACACCACTGCCCCCCGCCGCCTGGAACGGGTGGGCAACCTGGCGAAACTTGCGTGCACCACGTCCGCAAGGTGCAGGACAGACCGTGTGCAGGTGGGAGGGGCCAATGAGCTCGAGACTGGTGGCAAGGTGTCTCGCTCAAGCCGTCTTCTGCTTCTTACTCACACGCATGCAATCTACATCAGCTTGGACTGGGTCAAGCTGGGCAAGCCACTGGGCCCAGGCAGCCAAGATCTTCTCCTTGGCTTGGCGGCGGTCTCTCAACATCAAGGGACACGCGGGACCCGCCGCACTGCCATCGAGCCCTCTCACCAGCCAGACCGCTGCCAGCTCTGCGAAGCTCGGTGGCGCCCCTCGCTACACAGACGCGCGCGTGCAATGCGCCCGCACCTTGATCACGCGCGCGTGCTCCAGACCACCCCCAGTCACCCGCGCGATGCCAGACCTGGATCCACCTTTCTTGTCCAGCACAATTTTGGAGGGGGAGGAGGAGCGGGCATCACAACGACGTAACACGTCCGTGCAACGATTCTGGGGGCTCTGCCGACCCAATTGAAATACGGAGACGCGCATGGCAAAGTCGCTGGGAGGAGGAAGAGGAGGGGAGGGATGGGGAGAAGACTCGAAACATTCAGATCGTGGGGCGAAATCCCGGCCCCGGAAATGAGCAATGGCCCAGACCTGGGCAGAAAACGGATAATGCAGCGGGGCAGGAATGCGGGCAGTGATGACGATGCGAACTTACTCTCCAACCGTATCGGTGACGCGCAGGAAGCCCTGCGAAGCTCAGTGGAGGCCCCTCGCTGCATAGATGCACGCGTGCAGCGCGCCCGCACCCTGATCACGCGCTCGTGCTCCAAACACTCCCCAGTCATCCGCGCAATGCCAGCCCCGGATCCATGCAGTCTGGACATGGTCATAAGAACGCCGCGGGCCAAGAACACATGAACCCCTTCGCCGAAGGGATACGGCCCCATGAAAGTACACCGAGCAAAGAGCACTCCGGGATGGAGAGCCCACGCGACGCCTCGGGAGGCGCCAACGCAGCACGGTGCATCCAGGACGTTCGCGGAACAAGGGTGCCCCTCGAAGGCTGGGGTTGTTCTCCTTTCTTGCGCCAACTGTATCGCCTGACGCGCAGTGGCTGCCCTCGCAGGATGCACGGCCTCCGACGTCCAATCCATTCCGTGCACCAGCCATGTCCTCCGCCAACGCCTTCGACCACGGTTGCGCCGGATCAACTGGGTCCGCAGGCACAGTCGGGTGACGCTGCATACTCGAGGCGACGCCGACGTCCGCACCGACCAGGAACCAGAGATCCGCCCAAGACCAAGAGCGTCTGAGAGCTCTCGGGATGCACCTTGATCACGCGCACGTATTCGAGACCACCCCAGTCATCGGCACGATGCCAGACCTGGATCCACCTCTCTAGTGGAAGAAACAGCTGCACACCGGTCAACTTTTGGAGCTCCGCGCGGATTTCTTCGATCTGCGCTTGACCCCCCTCCCTGGCGCGCGGAGCGCGCCAGGGGCGGCGCTGGAGGCGCCGCCGAGGGAGTCCAAACACCGATCCAAGAAACCCGCGCGGAGCGTCGACAGTTCACGCTTGCGCCGTTTGTTCCTTCTTCGTACCTCGGCCGACGCGCAGCGGCTGCCCTCGCAAGCCACCCGTGCACGAGCCGACCGCCTGCGCAGAGCACGGGAGCCCGGCGCAGCGCGCCGCAGGCCGCGCGGCAGCGCGACGGGCTCGGCTGCGCCGCCGTCCGCACCGGCGAGGGCCACGGCTCCGCAGAGGACGGAGTAGAGGTCAAAGCATCCGCCCCCCATAGTGACCACCCCGACAAGCGGAGCCGTGTAGCAAGCGCACCAGGGCAGGGCTGTCTATAGTGAACGCCCAGGGCCGTGCAGTAAACGCCAGCTGTCGGGGTCTGGAGGGGGCTTCTTCCCCCTTTGCAGAGAGCGTCTGAAAGCTCTCGGCACGCACAGCTGCTGCAAGGGCCCAGGCGAGAGCCTGCAAGGTACCAGAGAGAGGACTACGGCAAGTTCGTGTCGGGTCGACCTCGGCAGCAGCTCCTGACACCGCGGGACCGTTCAGTCTTGAACGATCGGCCGTTTCCGAAACGTGAGATCGTTAAACATCGACCGATTCTGGGTCGCCAGCGGCGCTCAACGCTGAACGCCGGCGGCGGGGTCGCCGTGGGCCGACCCGGCGCGAACCTGCCGTAAGCCACGGGGCAGGGCGGCAAACTTCGCCGCGCCGGCGACGGCGCCGACGAGGGCCAGATACCCACGGCAGACCGAGAGCGTCCTGCACGGAGTAGCGAAACACGGCATGAGCATACTTCGGAGGTCAGCGCTGATTTCTTGGATCGGCGCTGGACCCCCTCGCGCGCCAAGGGCGGCGCCAGAGGCGACGTCAAGGGGGGTCAACGCCAATCCGAGAAATCAGCGTGGACCTCGGAAAATTTACGTTTGAAGAGTTTCCCCCAAAAGAGTGCTTGTATTCAGGGGTTCTTGCTTGTCTTCTGAGGAACTGGGCCTGCGGGTCGCTCTGGCCGCCATGTGGCCATCCTCGCCGCCTCGTCGCCGCCCTTCGCCTGGGCCTGCGGGCCGCTCCGGCCGCCATGTAGCCGCAGTCGCCGCCTCGTCGCGACGCCCCTCGCCTGGGCCTGCGGGTCGCTCTGGCCGCCAAGTGGCCGCAATCGCCGCCTCGTCGCCGCCCGCTTTGCACTGCTTTGCGCTGCCATGCCCTGCTCTTCACTGCTTCGCGCCAGATACACTGCATCACCTGGTCTGCTAGAACACACTGGTTGGGGCCCACGCTGGCTAACATTGTCATTCCCAGTGCATGCTAACATTGGTTTCGTGCGTGGTTTCTTTATTTGCTCGATGACCCAGGATGCTCCTCGATGGCCATCGCCGAGAAAGATATGCGCACGTCCGAGCGATGCCGAGTGACCCGTGCAGGAAAGCCCACCCTCCCATCTCCGCGGGCCTCTTGGGGCCAGCTCGGGGCGCTCGTGGGAGGCCTGGCGCCTCTGGCAGTCGTCGGGGGGGGGCGTCTCTGGGCCGCCTCGAGGCCCTCCTGGGGCCCTACCTGCGGCCGTCTTGGGGGCCCCTTCGGCCGGCCCCTCGGGGCCTCTTGAGCCATCTTGGGGCCCTCCTCGGCCGTCTTGGGGTCCTGCGACGGGTGTCTGGAAGGCCTCTTGGGGTCATCTGGAAGGCCTCTGGGGCCAGATGTGGCTTTGGGGAGCCCCGGCAGCGTGACGCGAACATCCTTCGACAACCTGCAGGAGATGCGTGCACTTGGCCTCTCGAGTCCGTCCTGCAGGTACTCTTGGAGAACTCTCTTGGGCAATACTGGGGGCCGTCTTGACCCGTCTTCAGCCTCTCGAACGCGTCTTGGAAACCATCCTGGATCGTTTTGGGCACCCTACCGACTGGGCACCGGCTTGCGGCATGACTTCCGCCGACTTTGCCCGGCTTCTGCCAGAGTTCTGCCAGCGCGGCGCGCGCTCTGCAGGCGGCTTTCGGAGGGGTGTCCCCTCAGGACAGCCACTGGGGAACACTAAGCGGGACCCCCTCGCAGAGGTCTGCTCAGACCCGACCCTGCTCATCTCTGATTCTCCGCGCCCCCCAAACTGCGGGGGTTGCTAAAGGGGCCCCTGGCCCAAGGCGACCTCAACTTTTCGTTCAATTTTGGAGCCCCTGGGGCCCTCCGGGCCTCGTGAGGAGTGCTCTGGAGGCCGTGGGGAGCCGAAATCCTGGGGGTACCTTGGGCCAGGGGCACTTCTAGCACCACCCGAAAGCTGGCCACGGAATGCCAGGCGAGCAGCTCGCCCGCGCGCCCTCTCCACTCTGATGTCCCGACGCCCTGGTGAGGCCTCAGGGCGTCCCCCCGCGAGGCCTCCAGAGGCCCAGAGAGGGCCCGAAGGGCCGAAGACCTCCAAAGGGACCAACAGACGTCGACCATCTTACGCAGATCTTCGATCGTCGACCCTGCGTAGAGTTCAGAACACTTTGAACCAAGAATATTGTCTTCGCTCCAAGCGTGTTCTTTGAAGCAGCAGTCCAGGTTCAGCCCTACGAACGTTCCACGAACAAGGAGAAGCTCCAAGGAAACGCCCAGGGTACGGTCCAGATTCTTGACTCTCTTCAACGCAATCTGGAGTCCATGAACAGTGCAGTGTTTTTCTAAGATTTCTAATGGGTGCATCTCCATGCTTTCATCAGTCTGCTGCTGCTCAGCCCGCCGCAGCCGCGCTCACAGTACTCCCGCATCCTTTGGGCGAGTTAACCCTTGAGCCAGTATCGCTGCGAGTGGCGCTGCTAGCGAACGTGGTGACGAGGACAGTCGTGCTGGCGACGGTGATGATCGATGATGCTGGTGGTGGAGAGATCATCATGTTACGAGTGCGGTCCTAACTATGCGGTGACTGTGATCGATCCTCGCGAGGGTTTGCCGCGCAGGCAACGACAGGTACTTAGACCCGGTGCTGCGAGGCCGGCATATGTACATTCATAGCCGCCGCCTGAGGAAGCGATGTCCCAAGACCCCACGGGGGGCGGAGAATGTGGACATATTTGGGCTCCCTGGGCCTGAATCTATTCAATTTCGCCGCCTCTTCAGGTGCTTGAGACATCGCCCCCCAAAAAGCGGACCCGCATATATTCCGGCCTCGGGACTTCTACGTACACACACAGCGGGACCCGAGCATGGCCCTATTCCTCCTCGTCCTCCTTGCCGTCCTCCCTCTCCTCGTCGCGGGCTGAATTTCAACTCTCCTTCGACCTCTCTGGGCGAGTTCTTTGAGGGGAGGAGGAGGGGGAGGGGGAGGGGGAGGAGGAGGGGGAGGGGGAGGAGGAGGAGGAGGAGGAGGAGGAGGAGGCGGAGGAGGAGGAGGAGTGACAGCGTCCACAAGTGAAGGAGGACGCGGGGCAGGATGAGAATGAGCAGGATGACGGGGAGGACAGGAGGAGGAGGCGGAGGAGGGAGGGGAAGCGCCCTTCGGTCCCCCCCGCACCCCCGAGGACGGAGCTCGCCGTCCCATGCGGATCTCGCTTTGGAGACCGCCAACTACCGTCGGCCATTATTCTGCAAGCCGCCTCGGAACCTCACTCCGTTCGAGACCTGGGAGAGTTTGTCTTCCCCCCCCCTCCCCTCGGGACCTGGGGGAGCATGGAGAAGGAGCGGGGAGGACGATGAGGAGGGAGGAAGAAAAAGGGAAAACCATGAGGAGGGGGGAGGGGGAAGGGGGGCTGAGGAGCATGCGAGACTGGGGAAGGATGAAAGGGAGGATGCGGATGAATGTCCCAGGGATGTCCTGGGAGCCACAGTCGGCGTGGCGCGGGGACCTTGGACCAAAGAGCTCCAGGCACCAGCCGATGCCCATGGTCGGTGGGCGCCCTTTGCCCCTTGCATTGAATGTTTGACTTCCTCGTCGGAAGGCCGTGATCCTGGGCTCGAACGGCGCTGGGGGACTTGGGCCGGACGGCTGGGCTCCTCGAGTTTCTAAAATGGCCCTGGAGTCCGCATGCAATGGGACATGGCAACTGCTGGCCGCTGCATCCGGTATGATGCGATGGGGATCCTTCTGCACGCCGCCCGCCGCCCCCCCAATGTGCCGCGCTACAGAAGCATTTGAAGGAGCTCTTGCTTCAGCACCGCGATGTAGCTGAGCCACACTTCTTGTGCGAGATTGAAGGTGTACCCAACCCAAGGTGTTTACCGATGTTGGACCACCGTGTCCAGATTCCTGCCTCGAGTACGGGACGGTCATCGACACGTCTGGGAGCCTGTAATCACGAACGCACTGTTGTCCATTGGCCATCATGCATCGATCGATGCTTTGCCAACGTTTGGGTGGGACTCGTGCGGTAATGACTTGTTCGATTCGCACTTGTTTAATGGCACATTCTGGCACGGGAAGTGTCTCGCCGTATTGCAACACCTTGCTTGTCTTCTGCAACTGAAGATTTTCTTCCACCAAAAGACAGGAAGCCATTTGGTTGCCATTTCTGGGATTTCATTCCACGCTCGTTCTAGAGTCTTGGAGGTGAGACCGTTCCCGTCTATGGTTCGTGGTAGGCGTCAACGAGCCCCCCAGGCCATTTGGGGATGTTCATGGGTCTTCAAAGGCGAGAGGCGCTTGGTGCGTGCTGCAGATGATGATCACATCTGGATGCCCATCGACGCTGGCGCAGCGTATGCCAAATGCTGGCGCGAACCTGTTGGGCTGCCCAGCCCACTCGGCCCCAAAATTCCCTCTTGGCGCGTGCGACTGCTGAGTGTGACATCCAGGCGCCCATCGGCGCTGGAGCAGCGTATGCGCCGTACGGGCGAGCCTGTTGGGCTGGCCACCCCCCTCGCCCAAGTCTGTGTCAAGTGTTTCTTTGATGTTTTGTTTCTTGCTTGTGCGGTCAGAGCGATTCGTTGGACATGAGGAATCCCGCCCCTTCTCCCCTTCTCCTGCCACCAAAACCGTGCGCGTGCCGCTCCGTGCCACTCCGGTCCGAGGGGTTGTCCGCTATCTGGGTCAACCTGGGCTCGAGGAAGCGAACATCAGGAATCTACGCAGAGCTTGGGCCGTTGATGCCTGGTGACTGGGGCGTGGTTTGCGTGTCGCGCCACAGCGTGGTCGGCCCGACACGCTAAGCAAACGCTCCTGACTATTCGTGGTGAAGTCTCAAGCGAACCGCTGGGCCCACCCTACCGACTCTTCTGGGTGCGATACAGCGAAAGGGATTGGGCCTGACGAGGAGGAGAAGGAGAAGGGGAGGAAGAGAAGGACGAGGAAGGAGGCGGATAATGCTGATGATGATGATGATGACGATGATGATGATGATGATGATGATGATGATGATGATGATGATGATGATGATGATGATGATGTCGGTGATCATGATGATGTCGATGCTGATGATGATGCGGGTGATCCTGATGCTGCTGCTGCTGAGGATAATGATGTTGCTGATGATGATGACGACGATGATACTGATGGTGGTGATGATGAAGATGCGGAGGAGGATGAGGAGGAGGGAGAGTCCATGGCAAGATCTTGCAGTCGAGTGCGAGGGGGGGGGGAGGAGGACCCCCCCTTTATCACGTTCGGGACCTCCTCTTCTTGGAGCTCAGCCACAGCCTCGCTGAGGTTTGGGATCGGCTTGCCCCCCCTCCGCACGCCCGTGCACTGCTTCCACCTGCTCGGTGTCGTGTCGGTCCTGAGGAGGTGGACGAGGAGGAGCAAGCGGAAAAGGAAGGGGGAAGGGGGAGAGAAGACCCGGGAAGAGACGAGAGGGAGGAGGGGGACAGGGGGGAGGACGGGGAAGGGGAGGGGCAATGGGCAATGGCCGAGGGCGCAGAGGGGAATCCCGACTGGGCCTCGGAACACATAAAGAGGGCGCAGGCACGCGCCCGAGGTGCAGGCCGCAGCTAGTCCGAGTCTCCTGACTCGGGCTGTGGCTGGGGCGCAGAGGCCGAGGGGGAGGGGGGAGCCGTGGGCGCGGGACTGCACCGCGCCGCGGCGGTGGCTCGCGGCACCGAGCTCCGCCTCTCCTCCTCCTCGACACCACGACCGACCCCGTCCCCCCCGTCCGCCACCCCCGTCCCGACGTTAGACAGCGACTGCACGGCGGCCTCAGGGGCAATCGGGGCGAGCAGCAGCGGGCCAAGCGCCTCCCCCGTCTTGGGGTGGCGGCCACGCTGGGCCTGCTGCAGCATTCTCTGAACTCTCTCCCCCCGCGTCCCACACACCCCAGCTCCCAACCGAACTCCCTCATCCTTGACGAGGCACGCACGCGTGAGGCCCACCGAGAGTCTCTGCGGGCGCACGGTGTGGGCCCCACAGCGCGTGCATATCAGCACACGGTCACACTCCTGGACCAGGTGTCCAGGGCCGACAACCTGGGGATCACACAGGCGGGAGGAGAGGGACTTCAACGAGGAAGGGGTCGAGGCCTGGCGCCAACAAACATTGCACCCAATCGCGCCCGCAGGAAACAGGGCGAACGCGTGGGTGGTGGGCTTACGCCGACGAGGGGCTCTTGGGGCGGGCGGTAGCGGCCGATAGATGACGGGCGACGCCAACGTGGCCACTCTGTGGGCAGCAAAAGCAAGACAACGCATCCGCTGCTTGGCCTGCTCCAACTCAAACTTATGAGCACGGATGACCGAAGACGAGCCCGACAGCTCGAGCGCGGCCATCTTCGCGAAGCAATCAGCCCACATGTTACCGAACAAATTCTCGAGGGGCTCACCCGAGGAACAGCACGACGCAATGCCCTCATCCACAGACCTGTGAGCACGAGTCCAGGAAAAGCGGGGCAAACGATCCAGATCACTTTCAAACAGAGCGTGCAGCTGCCTCCAGACGCTAGCATGAGGTGCTGTCGGTCGAGCATGCCTGCCAAACCAAAGCCCCCCTTCCTGTGCCAGAGCCAAGTGATCAGTGACAAACTCAGACGGCCTAGACGCCAATTCGAGGCCTCGGAGAGCGGCAAACCTTTCGGCCCTGGGCACGGTTTGAATAGGGCCTCCGAGGCCTCCAAAAACAGCTTTGAACGGCAACAAATTCGGCGTGAGGGCCACCACCGCCCAACCACACCGCCCAGGAGGAGACGAGGGGGAGAGATGTCCAGGGGTCAGTGGTTCTGGGCGAAACCAAAAACAGATCTCGAATTTTCCTGGGATTCCGGAGAAGGATGGAAGGCGTAAAAAGGAGAATGCGGAGGAGGAAGACGAATATGAAGAGGCGGAGAAGGAGGAGGAAAAGGAGCAAGAGGAAGAAGAGGAGGGCCATGAGGGCTCTGATTATACGAGCCTCTCCTAGAGACCCCTGGCTCGCTGGCCACGCCAAGCCCACGCCAGCAGTTGCCAATGCAGGGTTGAGGGGCCGAGCCTATGCCCAGCCCCCGAATGGCGCCAGGCCTATGCCCAGCACCCGCAAAACTACGCGCGACGCACGCCAACCTAGGCCAAAGCCAGCTCAGCGCCACGCGTGAAGAGAAGCCCACCCTGGCACCCCACTGCTGGGGCGCCTGGGCAAGCGAGAGCCTGAACACGTACAATTTAAGTATCCAACATCGCAATGCGCTTGGCCTCATGCGTGCTGGCCGCATCGAGCGCGCCATGGAGCTTCTTGCCCTCCAGGAAGTCCTTCAACGAGAATTCCAAGTCGTCTCCCGCCCCATGGAGGGACGGGAAAGCAAGGACGGTAGGCAGCTCCGGCTCTGTCTCCGTGAGATTTGGCTCACGGCCCCTCAGACTTTGGCCCGCGAGGGCCTGGGCACATCCACGCACGAGGGAGGAGGAGGAGGAGGAGGAAGAGGATTGGATTGGGATTGGGCCCGTGGGAGTTCAACTGCGACCGTTAGACGCCTGCCTACACCGCCTACCTTCACAGTTAGGGGAACTCTGGGGGGCGAATCGTGCTTCGCCAAACCGTCAGATGCGGCCCGTGGCTCACGACGGACGCCGCGCCGCCCCTACGAGCACCCCCTGGACGGCACGCAGCCTGCGGAGGGCCCGCTCTTGGGGACCAGTGAGAGTGCTACCGGAAACCCTTCTTACCCTTGCCCCTGCCCTTGGCCCTTGAAGGCCCCCCCTCTCTTTGGATGGTCGGGGTATTGGACACTCCAGAACCATAAGCTGAGGGCAAAGGGGGGGGTCGCGGGTTCAAAACTTCAGAAGACACTAAACCCCTACAAATTAGGTCGGCCAACCTTTCACTCGCCCGCAGCGGATGTTGGTGACTGGCGCCTCGGGAATCCGACGCGGGTCCGCTGTTCAAGGGCAACCTACTTGACTGTAAAAAGCTGCTGCCGCTACTGCTGCTACCTCTACCTCCTTTTACTATGCCTGGGCTGCGCCCGTCTACTTGAACTCCGCCAGCAGCTTCGAAGCGCCCCGCTCCAGTGGGCCCCTCGGCGCGGGCCCGATGCGCCTCTCCGCCTTCAGCGTCTCGAGCAGGGCCGTCATGATTTGCGTCAGCTGCGCATACTTTGGGTGCTGCGTGTCGAAGGCAATGATCAACCTGCCCCTCGGGTTGCTCTCCGTCTTGTTCTTGTTGCGCTTCCACTGCCAATGCAGCGCCAGCTCTCCCACTTGTACCGCCGGCGCCTTGCACAGGTACTCCTTGTAGAACTCTCGAGCAATGGCCGTCCACGGCTCTTGCTTCACTCCTTCTTTGTTGTACTGCGAGGCCGCCCAGTGCATGGTCGTCACGAAGATGGTCGCGAAGGGCGGTCCTCTGCTCTGGAAGTCGACGGCTTCTCCTTTCTTCGCCTTGGCCTTGAGCTCCTGCGACTGGTCGTTGTAGTCCGCCCCCGCGCTCTCGTTCGTCGCCGCGAAGTCCGTGTCCGCGCAGATGTCGCACGTGCGGTGCACCGTGCTCGACACCTCTGCCAGCGCGCGGCTGTCCGTGAGCGCGAGCTTGCCGAGGATGAGCACCAGCTTGACCAGCGCGTCTTGCCCGCGCGCCGCCTTCTTCGCCTCCTCCCTGACGTTGCTGCCGCCTGCGTCGCCACCGCGGCCCTTTTTGCTCGCAGGGCCTGACGACGGGCATCTCAGACACGCGGGACGCTCCAGCACATCCTCGATCGCCACCACCTCCGACATGAGCAGCGGCTGGCCCAGGAGAAAATGATACTCCGAGATCTGCCTCTGGGGCAGGTGATATGGACGGGCCCACCTCACACGGAAGATGGCTTGTGACCAAATGGCTGCATAAGTTGTCCAAATCGCTGGAGTGACATCCGCGTACTCTGCATACCAATGACGGTGGAGGCCTAACTCCCGAGAGCGTTGCCGAACCCTTGAAGGACACTTACCACTCATCAGGGCCCTCTGGAGGTGCTTGTAAGCGTTATCCTGGCTAGCGAATACACGTCTACACGCTATGCACGTGTTTGTAGGTGTCAGCGTAGCAGCTAAATTGTGTACTTGATGTATTTGACGCATCTGGTTCATGAGGTCCTTCTTGGTCTGGAACCCGTGCCCACATACCGTGCCCTCCTCCAAAACCCATTCGCACTTCCAAGGGGGCTCCAGAGGTACTCCTGGGGTATCCTGCGTTTCTTTCATGTAGAGGTCTGAAGGAGGGATCACCTTTGCCAACTCGCGCGCACGAATCTCCGTAAAGTCCACGCGAGTCCAGAACTCACGATAATCATCGTTCACTATATCGCCTGGACAGCGAGCAAAATTGGCGCAAAGGTCGCCCTCGTCAAGCGCATCTGCTGCACGCCGAAAGTCAGACTGCAGTCGAAGGAGCCGCGGAGATGCCACACTGGGAATAACTGTGCTGTCGTCGTTTGCCCCCCCCCCCCCCCCCCCCCCCACATCCAGGCCCAAGGTCCCGAACAACAAGCAAAGCTCCTGGCTGTGGTTCTTCGGGGATAGGGCCCAGGTACGGTACCGCCCCAAGCGTCTGACCAGCAACTCCGTTTCAGAACTAGCGAGGCGCCAATGCTGCATCACTTTCTTATTCGACCACGACTGAATCCTCCCGTCCACCTTTGTTGTCGCCTTCCCTTGTAATGCCCTCCCCCCATAGCGAGCCAGGGGCGAGTCGAGTTCACGATGTTGGCGATTGGTGAGCAGCATTGGTTCTAAACCCGTGAGCGCCGCATTCTGCGCGAAACTCAGAAACATGGTCCGCTTCCAGCGGAACGGCAGCCCCAGGGACCATATCTGACCCAAGGCATAGTACGACTCGGCAGTAGCTTGAATTCTGCGACCGATCTCCACTGAAGAAGATAGCAGCATATTAATTTTGGGGCCCAGGTACCTGACATGCTCCTGAAGATACCCTGCAATTTGTCTTCGACCCTGACCCCTCGCCCACTGTTGACGCTGTAAGGCCCCAGGTCCCTGGAAGCACAGCTGAACCTCCTGCTTCCCGATGTTTTGTGCATACCCAATAGCATCAAGCTCCTCCGAAAGGGCCACATCAGCTTGCTTCAGGACCTGGAAAAACAACTGCCCACGGTGCCGTGAGGTTGGGCCACGTGAGCTCGAAAGATATCGTCGGCGTAAAGGCAGCCACCGACGTCCGCGCGTAAATCTCTCCAACTAGCAACCAAACCAGCAACAGACTTGTCAAAATCTCTAAGACGATGAAGCCACTGCAGGATGGGCCGAGCAAAGGTTCGACGGGAGAGCCCCACGACAAACGGGTCTCCCATCGTTCCTCCTTCCCCCGTCTTGATGTACATCCCCCCTC